AAACTGAGATGAGTCTGGGCAGCTTGGGCGATACTTCAGAATTCTTGAACCAGTGCTAAATCTAGTCACCTTCCCCAGAGTGTCAGCCTTCAGCTATTTTTTCTGAATCAGCCAGTGTCCCAGCCATCATCCAATTATCCCCGATTCCCGCTATCCAAGGAGAAAACACTCCATTAAACATCAGGATCAAGAGACTCCAGCTCCCTACTCGAATGCCTGCTAATTAAAGCCTTAAAAAAGAAGAGCGTGCAGAGAGAATGCAGAAAACTTGAGAAACTGTTATTAACACTGCAAAAAGAAATACAGAAACTTCTGCTCAGAAATACATCTAGCTTCTTTCTTAAAACGACCTTCCACTTTCATTTGAAAGGCCAAGGGAGTCAAGAAAAGGGGACAGGGGAAACCTGTGAGGCCAAGAGCACTTGCAAAAAATCAGCAAATGTTGCAAATTAATTACACTGTGCCTTCCTGTTTCTGTCTCATGGAGTACTAAGAAACCACTATAAAACTGGGTAAACTATATGAAGCAACTCTTCAGAAGAACTGGATACAGGCCATGAGGGACTGTGATTATCATAAGAAGGAAATGCACAAGGACACATTGCGTTCACCTGAGCACGCTATGTGGTGGCACACTGCAAACTGTGACATAAATAATGAAGCAGTCACAGGAAGAGACTCCAATTCAAGAGTGTTGAGACAGCTGGGATTTGCAGAGAAGGCAGAGCAGAGGACAAAAAATTCTGTAAAAAAAAAAAAAAACATAAACAAAAACAAAAACCTGTACAGAAAGCTGCTACAGACCCTGGAAGAGGGGGACTCTGAGCTCAAGGGAGATCCCACAGGTCACCTGTGCTAGACTATGTCGAAATTCCCAGTGAAGAGATGGTGCTGCTCACCCCAGTCCCTTAGATAAGATGCGGTACCCATCAGCAAACCCTAATACCAACTCTGGGTGGTAAATAAACTGTGAGAATCAAGTCCAAAACTCTTTGAAGAAGATGACAAAACCCAAACTCTCATCAAAATGGCATAGACAATGTCCAACAGGCAACAAAAAATTAAGACATGCAAAGCCAAAAAATATGATCCACAATCAGGATTTAAAACAAAAGGGCTAAAGGGAAGGGACCTGCCATACTATGATAACAAGAACCATTCTTTGAGAAGACTTCTCAACAAACTAGTTTATACTAAAACTGTGTGTATGTGTGTTTGAAAGAGAGAGAGAGAGAGAGAGAGAGAGAGAGTGGTGTGTTAGCAGAGATTACCTAACAGGCTAGGAGCTGACACTAGCTATTACATAAGTTTAAGTATTGAAGGGGGAAAAAAAAGAAAACACAATAAATGTGCAGGTCAGATAACAGCACAAAAAAAGGAACTAACAAATTCTATAACTGAAAATTGTTTACCTAAAATGAAATCTAGACAGGTCTACTTGCACAGACCTACAATCTAACCACATAAGAGGCAGAGGCAAAAAGATCATGAGTTCAAGGCCAGTCTGGGTTACATAGTAAGACCCTAAGTGAAGTAAGCCAGACCCAAAGAAATATAGGTCCCATGCTTTCCCTTATAATCTAATAATTAGTATATGTCTAGGATAATTTTATCAGATGAGCAGGAAAGCTCAAAAGCTACATATATATGACCATACAAGATAATGCTAAGTGAAATGAACACCAAGATATGGCACAAGAGGTTTTTCTTTCCTGTTGTTTTTAATGTACTACATGATTTTCTTTTGTTTCTTTTGTATGTTCGTCCCCCTAGGGCATATCTCCTGTTGTCGCTGTATTTGATTTTGGTACCCTGCATCTTGTATATATATTTATCTAATTTGGAGAAGGGAAAGGGAATAACAAAATGCTGAAATAAGGACACAGGATGACCCACTGCAACAATGAGACTCACAAGACACTAAGTTGGAAATGAACTTTACAACTTCAGGGGAGGGGGAGGTCTAGGAAAGGTGGAGGAGGAAAGGGGTAGTAGGAGAAAAACAAAGCAGGGGGGTAACAATGCTCCACAAGAAATGTACTCATTACCTTACTCATGTAACGTAACCCCTCTGTACAGCATCTTTACAATTAAAAAAATTAAAAATTAAATAATCTCTTCAATTTCCTTAATAATGAACTAGACATTTCAAACAAATGGCTAGTGTTCCCAGTGACCAATCAAAAGCTATTTTCAAATAAGAACACACAGAATAAAAGAGGAATAGAGCAAGAGATCTAGCCCAGGAAGCAGAGCATCTGCCCAGTAAGTAGAGCCTTCAGATCAAACCCCAACAGTGACAAAGAGAGACAGAGACAGAGAGAGAAATATAAGGAGAATTCCTGTGATTGAAGGAACATTATTAACCCTTCAGACAGGCATGTGTGATTGGAATCCCAGAAGACAAGAAGAATGAGATAAGAAAATAACATTGCTTTCCTAAAATTCAGGCTGTTTTCATTTGGTTGTAAATTTGATACACCAGGAACAAATAACCAGAGGAATATGGCTTCTATACCCATTGCAACAAAGCTTAAGGTAGAATCAAGAGACACCACCAGCATATTAACTGTCTGCCGTAACCATAGCAACACCTTGAGGAAAAACAACAAAATCCAGATTCTCAACAACAAAGCAATCTCCATGCCTAGCACACAATAAAAAATTAGTAGACATGAAAAGAAACAGGAAAATGGCAGGGGAGGGGGGAGAGAAAAGAAAGGAAGAAGGGAGAGAGGGAGGGAGAGAAAGGAAGGAGGGAGAAGGAAAGGAGAAAAAGGAAAGAAAAAAAAGGGGGGGGGAACAGAATACTGTAATCCCTACAGGAGCCACTCAAAATATAATGCATACAGTTTTAAAGCCTGTAGAGACATTAGAGTGCATTACTGAAAATAATTTGATTAAGCCAAAAGACACCAGGAAGCAAGTATAAAACAACACCCTGAGTAGCAACAACTATACAGCAAAAATCCAAAAAGGTTAAGTGGAAACAAAAAACAGTAAGGTGTAGGCGGATGCCAGTGGCTCATGCCTGTAGTCCTAGCTACACAGGAGGCTGAGATCTGAGGATCGAGGTTCAAAGCCAGCCTGAGCAGGAAAGTCCATGAGACTCTTATCTCCAATAAACCACTACAAAACCAGAAGTGGCGCTGTGGCTCAAGCTGTAGAGTGCTCACCTTGAGCTGAAAAGCGCAGAGACAGTGCCCAAGCCCAGAGTTCAAGCCCCATGACTGACCAAAACAAAGAAAACAACAACAACAGTAAGGTGGTAGGCATCAAATTCTAACAATAAATATGTGAAATGTAAACTGACTAATGTTCTAATTAAAGGACTGAGGTCAGACTAGAGAAATCAACAAAATGTTGTTTATTCAATGCAAAGACAAATAGACTAAAAGTATGAGACAGGGAAGAGCCATGGAGACACTTTGAAGGAAGCTGGAGTTCACATCAGGGCTCAGAGAGACCAAAGATGTGAAGGGACACAGACAAAAGCTGCCATCCAGAGTTCTGCTGAGGAAACCAGCGGGAAGTGTCCCAGAGCATTAATGTCCTGAAGACTGCAGAAGAGAAGTTCTCACATTCTTTTTATTAACATTTTTAGAAGGTGTACAAAAGGGTTTCAACAGGTCAGTTTGTGGCACAATGCAGCTGGATCAATGTCACCCCTTCCACTGTTCTTCCCCCACCTCTCCCAACTCCATCCCTCACATTCTCTAATGAGGGTGGTACAAACTGTTAGCATTTCCACACCCCTGAGCACAGTGTCACTGGGAATGGCTCAGGAAAGAGTAAGTTACAGGAGATACTCCAGTTTATATCATTGTCTGGATGAGAAGACACCCCTGAGAGTTAGCTTGATAGTGGCTTTTCATCCCTCCTCTCTCCTTTCTCTCTCCTGCCCTCCCCCCTAACTTCTCCCATATGCAGACATATTGAGAAGACAGGTAAAGGGCCTTCACACACAACGCAACCGACTGGAACCTGGATACAGCCTGTTCAAGGCCCTCAGTCTATGGTATTTTGTTACTGCTGACTCTGACAGCAGGAACCTGCTCAGGTAGCATCTGCCCTGTTGATTTACCTGGATCATATTTCTGAAGGAAGACAGTGAAGTCCAAAAAGAACCTGGGGGAACCTGGACTTGTTGGCACTGTTCAGCCATCCTTGACAATGAACCCCAAAGCAGCTGTCTAGAATCCCTGCCTATCAGCTGTTCAGCACCAGCTGCATCCCAGGAGCCAAAGGCTCAGCCCCACCATGTCATAGGCAGAACTGCTCACTGGTCTAGCTGAAGCCCAGGCCCATGTGCCAGCTTCTCGGAGAGCCACTGCTGTCAACCTGCACACAGATACTCCTGTGCCCTCTGTGGGCGCTTCCACCCTATACAACAAGATGCATGGACCATGGGCAGACATCATGGATGCCAGTCATGTGCACAGGGGGATTCATGTCCATTTATGCACATGAGTATGTATGCACAAATGAGTGTGCACGCCCATGTGAACTATACCAAGGATGTAACCTTAACCCTCTTTAGCCCTCTGCCTGCTAAAAGGACTCAAACCATATCTGGGCATCTTCCAGAAGCCACAGGAAGCAATAGAAGACTCTAAGGGCAAAAAAAAAAAAAAAAAAAAAAAAAAACCCTGCCTTGGCTGCTATGTGCGCCTGACAGTAGATGCCCAAGTCAGCAGGATGCCCATTCTCTCTAAGCATCGCCTGTAAAGGGGCTACAGCTTCAGGTGTCAGGAAACCCCCTCCACTATATCCCTCACACAAGCAGTGAAGCATCCTGTGTGATTCAGGAGAGCCTCAGAGCTCCCCTTGGGCTGTGAAGCCTGGTGAACTAGAAACCTTTCTGCAAACACCCCACCAGGATGCACAAGCCGCAGCCTCCACCGCCACAAGCCCACAGGTTCACTCTGCTCAGAATGGAGCATTAATTAATGCTGTGGAGTTGCCAACATGCCTTGTCCCTTGTGGCAGTCCAGCATCAGGTGTGAGGGTCTGTAGCCAACCACTGGCTCTCATTCAGAACATACAGTGTTCTGCAAGGAGCCAGTGGCTCATACCTTTAGTCCTAGCTACTCGGGAGACTGAGATCTGTTGACAATTCAAAGCCAACTTGGGCAGGAAAGTCCATGAGACTCTAATTAACCAGCAAAAAGCTGAAGTGTAAGTGTGGTTCAGGTGGGAGAAAACCAGACTTGACTGAAAAAGCCAAGTGAGAGCACCCAGCACAAAAAAAAAAAAAGAAAGAATATACAGTACCTGCCCTGCCAGTCTCCAAAGACCAAAAACATCCACAGAGCAATGACACCTACCCCATCATCGCTCCACCTTAGTACCTACCACACATGGCAGAGAAACTGCCATTCCACAAATTTATGTGGAAGCCCTGGGGAGCATCCCAGGAGAGAGACATGGGAACCAGCCCTGTCATACTGGGTTTTGGTCTTCCAACCTCCAGAACGGCGGGGGAAATACGGTGGACTGCTTCAGCCCCACCTGCGAGTGACAGCAGCGACCAAAAAACCCAGCTGTGCTGACAGGTTAAGCCAGAGGCATGAATGCAAAATCACCCCTCTCTGTGTGCTGGGTCTGCCCATCTACTCCATACACACAGCCTGCTGAGGGCTCAACCTCGTCCTTACCAGGTAGATCCTGCTTGTATGGCAGGGGCAGCCCAGCCAAGCATCAATGAAGAGTCAGGCCAGGGTGCACCTTACAGGATGGGGTAGAATTGAGCATCTCAAACCTCCACAAAACACAAGAGCAAGAGCAAGACACTAAAACTGACATGGAAGACCAATGTCCAGCTGCCACGTAACACTCGACGGCCTTATCTAGAGGAATCAGGCTCATCTACAGACTCCAGGGGACAAGGCAAGCAATTCTCTTTTTGTTCTGTATTATGGGAGCTTTGTAATTTCTCCCTTCTCTATCTGTGTGTGTGTCTGTGTCTGTGTGTCTGTCTGTCTCTCTCATCTCCCTCTTCCTCCCTCTCTCTCTTTCCTGCCTATCTCCTTTCTTCCTTCTTCTTCTTCTTTTTTTTTTTGTATAGCCCAGTCTGTCCTCAAACTCACCATTCTCCTGCCTTTGCCTATGAGTGCTGGGATTACAGTCCTCTGTCACTGTACCCAACTTGTTTAGGGTCTTTAACAAATGATACATGTTAAGTTTTAAGTAGAACCAACAAAAAAGAAAACAGACATATGGACATATATATCATTCTCTTTTCCTCTCCTTCCCCTCCCTCTCCCACTCTCTCTCTCATCCCCCTCCTCCATATTCTATCATCAACAAAAATAATGAATATTAAAGATGGAGAAAATCAAATACATGTGAACAATGCAAACACCTCACCAGGGAAGAAATAGGATGACTCCTTGAAATTGTCACTTCCAAACTGTGGTCCTTATATGGTTCCTTGAAGTAGTTCCAGCCACCAGAGAGTGACGCCAGCAGAAGTTCAGTGCCTATCCAAAATCCTGTACATCCATTCATTCAAATATACACCAAAACTATCTCCTTAGCCATTGCAACAAGTGCCAACAGAAACCGAACCTGCCTGGGCCTCCGCTATGTTAACGAGGTTGGCGACAAGTTAATTGGCTGCCTGCTGACCTCCTCTAGGCCCAGAAGCCTCTGTCCCTAGGCAGGACTAAGCACCAGGCAATGGAGGGCACCCACCATCTCCCCTCCCCACTGCAGTCTCTTGGGATTTCACTTGGTGTGAAACACCAAGAAAGGGAAGGGAAGGATGGAGGAGCACATATCTCAGAGGAAGAAATCTGCCAAATCTACCAAAAGCAGCAAGTAGCACCAACATAGACAGTGTTTTACCATGTGATTTTTAGAAAACACAATACAAACTTCCATTCCAGATGTGCAAACATACACATGTGAAGCACAGTGTCAGAAAAGGAGAGGGCTGCCAGATACCAGTGGCTCACGCCTGTAATCCTAGCTACTCAGGAGGCTGAGATCTGAGGATCGAGGTTCAAAGCCAGCCCCAGCAGGAAAGTCTGTGAAACTCTTATCTCCAATAAACCACCAGAAAACTGGAAGTGGCGCTGTAGTTCAAGTGGTAGAGTGCTAGCCTTGAGCTGAAGAGCTGAGGGACAGCACTCAGGCCCAGTGTTCAAGCCCCAGGACCGACTAAAGAAAAAAGAAAAAAAGAAAAGAAAAGGAGAGGGCTATACAAACCACACCAAGATGAGAGGATGCCAGGCAAACATTAGTACTGCACATTAAAAAAAAATTTTTTTTCAGAACCAGGCACCGGTGGCTCACGCCTGTAATCCTAGCTACTCGAGAGGCTGAGATCTGAGGGTCACAGTTCAAAGTCAGCCTGGGCAGGAAAGTCTGTAAGGAAGTCTATGAGATTCTTATCTCCAATTAACTACCAAAAAAACTGAAGTAGAGCTATGGCTCAATCGGTAGAGTACAAGCTGTGAGAAAAAAAAAATCTCAGGGACAGCACCCAGGCTGAGTTCAAGCCACAAGATAAAAAAGTTTTTTCCTAAGAAGTTTTTGGCGGTACTGAGGTTTGAACTCTAGACCTCATGCTTGCTAGGCAGGCACTCTTCCACTTGAGCCAAACCCTCAGCTTCTTTTTGCTTTAGTTTTATTTCATATAGAAAGACTCCCATAACTCTTTCCCAGGACATCAGGCCACAATCCTCCTACTTACGCCTTCCACTATAGCTGGAATGACAAGTACACGCTTCCACTTCCGGTGTATTAGTGGAGATAGGGATCTCATCATCTTTGTTCACCGAAGCTACCCTCAAACCACAAACCTTCCCATCTCTACCTCCCAAATAGCTGGACTCACAGGAATATGCTAACACTTGCTGCCGTAAAACTATCTTAAATGCAGAAGTATCACACAAAAGAACCCACAGACCCATTCCAACTGGGAACAAATATAAACATGTGCTCATGGCAATTGTGAAGGCCAAGGAGATAGTTTTGGTGTAGACTTCACCCAATGGATACACAGGACTTTGAATAGGCACAGAACCTCTGTTGGTGTCACTCTCTGGTGGCTGGAAATGCTTCATGCTCAATGGAATCAGCAGGGCTCCTGTCATCAGAAAGTGCATTCAAAGCCTACTTGACAAAAAAAAAAAAAAAGGCAAGTGTTTAATCTTCAATATTAAAGGATATAACATCATCAGTTTACTGCCTCTCTCTTGCTCACTGGCTCTTGCTCTCACTCTCACTATCTTTGTAGTACTAAGGACTGAACTCAGAGCTCCAAGCACTACTATACTGCTTAAGCCATGCTCTCAGTTCTCTTTTTAGTTTGTTTTTCAGATAAGAGCCTATTTGCCCAGGATGGCCTCAAACCAAGATCCTCCTACCTCTACCTCCTGAATAGCTGAGATGATAAGCATGTGCCACTACACCTGTCTAAAACTAGTTTTCTTTAACTTAAAATAATGATGATGATAATAATAATAATAATAATAAAGAAAAGGAGAAAGGATTAGACTGGACTGGAAAAATATACCCACTGAAGTGATGAGTCTGGAAAAAATATTTCACTCAATTGATGATGGCAGTAAATGTGTGGTCTGGGAAGATGAGGGGGAAATGGAAGATAATTTCATGTAAAAAATTTTTTTAATATTCTAGAGTAAGATTTCTGTATTGCTTTGATGTGACACCTGTATGGTTGCAAACAATGACATGAGCCTAGAATCACAACCCAGTAGAAATATCACTGCTTAAAACCCCTACCTACAGCACTCCTGAACTTCCCACAGATAAACTATAAAGATCACAGGCACCCAAAAAGCCCCCGTTTTATGCTCATTCCATGACCCCAGGGCTAAGAATGGTCCCTCATCAGACCTATTCCCAGGCTTAGCTGTACCTCCTAACCCATGTCCCAGCTTTCCTCCTTCATTAAGGTAACATTTAGCAAAGCCGCTATGAAGACAGCTCTGTTCACTTCCCATTAACTGTTACTGCATGAGCCTTCTCTCCTTTATTCCTAGACAAATAAACAGAAATAAAAATCCAATTTGGGGAGCGACTTGATATATCTGAAGTTAACAAAACAACCTGGGCTTTGACCTGACAGGTCATGATGAGTAAAACCCTTTTCATGAGCAATATTTTGCTTCAACTCCAACAGGGAGACAAATAAATCTGTAAAGCTGACTGAACAGAAATGCAGCTAAAGAACACAGGCATGTATTAACTATTTCCTTCCTGCCAACCCCAGAGTCTTCCTGCCCTACAGTTCCTGAATCTATAACTAAGATCAGCAGCTCTGAGGTCCAGCACTGGACCTATGGATGAATGGTGACAGTTCAAGTTGGGCCCATGATGTAGATGCTTTAAACCACATTTCTCATGTGCTTGTTCCTTCAGGTGAAATAATACAGAGACTCACTTCCTTTCGCCCTGTTGTCCAGGAAACAAAAAGGTATGCTCACCAGGTACTGGTGGCTCACATCTGTAATCCTAGCTACTCAGGAAGCTAAGATCAGAAGATCGCAGTTCAAAGCCAGCCTGTACAGAAAAGTCCAAGAGATTCTCATCTCCAATTAACAACCAAAAAAAAAAAACACACACACAAAAGAAATGGTAGCGGAGCTGTGCTCAAGGGGTAGAATGCCAGCCTTAAGGGAAAAGGCTAAGGCTAAGGGAGAACACACTGGCCCTCAGTTCAAGCCGCAGTATTGACACAAAAAAGTTCTTAAAAACTGGAAGAAAGTAAATAAATAAAATAAATAAAAACTAGAAGAAAGGAATGCTGGGACTTTTCTGCAGACAGGCCTCCCTTTATCCATGAGCCAGTCCTAAAGGACAAAAGCCCCCTAAACACAGCTTTAGACAATGACTCCATACCCACCCACCTCACCCTGCTCTGGGGCCATCTGCTGTCCGGTGATCTTTGTATAAGGTGAATGAATTGGAGGGTTGGATGGATCTCAGGTTGAATTTGCCCACACAACTTCCCACAGCCTCACAAGCTGCTGGTTTGTAAATTCCCAGAGCAGCAAACATTTCAAAAGTGAATTCTCAATCAATGCTGGAATCAACCACATGGACTCCAGATCAAAGCCCATTAACTTAGATGTCTCTAAATCAAAGCATCTTAAAGATCCAAGCTGCCGCTCTTTCCACATTGGTAACCAAATTAATAGTGACACCAAGGTAAACCTTTAGTTGGCATCAGAGTGAAGGTCAACAGACTTTTTTCCAAGAGCGACTCTTCTGACAACACTTGTATTCAGGGAATGTAACAATTAGATATAAAGCCCATCTATTTGGAAGGCCTTCTGAAATAATTTCACCCTCTCATATTAATGGTGAGAATTAATTTCTTTCCCAATGTCCTAGAACAGATGTTCACTGACTTTTCTGACAATCAACAGGGGTCTGAGCACTAATTGCTGTGACGGCTCTTTCTGAGCCCTTGCCCCAACCCTGATCTTGATTATCTACTTAGGGCCCACCACTGGGAGCTTCTCCATATATTAAAACAAATATGAATCAAAAGGTTAAAAAAAAAAAACACTGAGCAGTACAAATTGGCTGCTAACTATTTACACGGCTCAGAGAAAGCCCCTCTATTCAGCAGCTGTGCAAATACACCTGACACAGGTCTGACACCTCTACCACCCTGCCCCCAGTCCCAAGAGTAAGGCCACATCATGACTGCAAATTGCCCTCACCAAGAATGGCTCAGGTACTCAGGCAGGCCAGGCCTTGGTGAGGAGACAGAACGGGACTTAGCAGGAGGCTAGACAGAGGGGATAAGCCAGAACTTCTATCCACTATTGTGGGGCTCAAGCCTTCTGATGACAAGGTCTTTATGCCAGGGCAAGTAGATATTCTCCAGAAGCTGATTTATCTACAGCTTGGTGGACTGGGGCTGAGAATGTGGCTTAGTGGCAGAGTACTTGCCTAGCATGCATGAAGCCCTAGGTTTGATTCCTTAGTACCACATATACAGAGAAGGCCAGAAGTGGTGCTGTGGCTCAAGTGGTAGAGTGCTAGCCTTGAGCAAAAGAAGCTTAGGGACAGGGCCTAGGACTGGCAAAAAAAAAAAAAAAACAGGATAAGGTAGCTCACTATGAGAATCTCAGAAGTCGCACCGCATAGCTACATTCAACAAGGACCTGAATGTCCTGAGAGCAGAATATTCAAGGCCATTCAAGCTTTCAATGGGGGTGGAGGGAGAGGAGATAAAAGACAGAGGGTGTTTCCTCAGGCCAGCATCACAACTGTCCATCCAACCTTCACATCCAACTACCAGGGCCAAAGGATAGTGCTTCACCCCTATGAGCAACTCGTTTCTCATTCACCTCACTGTCCAAAAACTAAGATCTTAGGAAGTCTTCTTTCTCTTCCCCCAGCCAGGAATTTAATACAAGAAAGAAAAAAGGAGGTGGGCATGGCCTATATTCTCAGCACCTGAAAGACAGGACTAGTGAGGGATACATAGGGAAATTATCCTATCTAACAAAGTAAGAAAGAAGAAAGAGAAGAGGGAGGCAGGAGAATCCTTCCTACTTCCCCGGGATTGAGTGAGGAAATGGTTTTTTACCTCAAGCTCCCCCACGTAACTCTTCCTGTACCTGTTCACTTTCTGGGGGATCAAGCACCAGCTCCAGGACTTACTGGGGAGAAGTACCTGGGGAAACTGGACATGCCGGCCCCACAGTGTCACTGGCATCACCCCTTCTCCTCTGCCAACAGTAGCAGTGTACTCTGTTAATGGGCTTTAGCCATGGCCTGTGGCTGCCACACATGGCCTGGCCTTGGCTTGCTCTGCTCAGCCATTACAACCTTCAGGCTGCAGTGCAGTTTGTGCCAGGCTTCTCTAGGAGCAATTACATGCTCATCCACTCCCAACTTGTTGGCCTAATTTTGGAAAAACAAAATACCTAAAATCTCTAGCTTACCTCCAATGTTGGTACCTTTTTAATCTTTTTTCCCCCACTTTATAGCCCCTCAGTGGGAAATTGGAGCAAAGAGATGGAACAAGTACATAGCAGATGTGAGATCAAACCCTGAGCCCTTGCTGCCAGGGCTTTCCATCCTCACCCTCCCATGGGCCTATCTATACAGGCAGGTGTGTGGTTATCTCTCTGATGATATCACAGGCTCACCAAGGGCCAGGGCCAGGATCAAGACCTGCCTCTCCTTTCCCCCACTCTAGCTCTGCCCTCATAGACATCTATCCGGGGCCACCCAGCACAACATCTGGGTTTGTAATGGTATCTGACATTCAAATTCTGAACTTACTGAAATGTAAGTAAGGGGATGACAAATCATAGTACCAAGATCCCTTTCATGCCTCATTACCTGTGTAGACTCTACTGGCTAATGCAGCATGAAGGCATGTCTCAAGCTTGAATAGAAATTAATATCGCACAGGGCTAGATAACTAGAAGACAGCAATACTCACCAGGTGAGGCATCAGGAGGTCCACTGAGTATACGAAAGCAGCACCGAGGGTAAAGCCAATAGCCACGGGGAAGAAGGCAAAGGCACCGAAGTTCCCTGAGGATGTGGCCATTTCCACTGCTGGGGCCAGCAGAGACCAATAGGAAGCTGCCAACATGACCTGCAAAAGGCACAGCCAGCAACAGACCATTAAATCAGCCTGAAGTCTTCCCTCTGGGGGCCTCAGCTGCTCTCTGTGGTTCAAAGCACTCTGTAGTTTCACAGGTGTTTAATCTCAGGCATAGAAACTACCCAACCAAGCAGGTGACCCCAGAATTAATATTTCTCCTGGAACTACAGTGGTAAAAACCCAATTCAGGACAGGATAGAGTTGACCTGGGATGAGGGAATCCAGTTTGCCATCATCTAGCCTCTGGCCCAATGTTTCTCAACTTGCAGAAATTTTGCACCCAAGGCAGTATCTGGAGACTTTTTCCAATTGTCATAATAAGGGCACAGTAGTAGGAGCATCTGGTGAGTAGGGGTAAAGTGCTGGTATTCTATGCACAGCACAGAAACAAAGAATTCCCTAGCCCCCAGTGTCAATAACGGCATTGAGAAATCCTGTTCTAACTGAATGCTTCCAAAACAAATTGCTCATCACTTCATGAGCTCCACTACATTATAACATCACTCTAATTAGTACAGAGTACCTCCTTCTGTTGAGCTGAAATCTCTGTTCTTTTACTTTTTAGCTATATTAGGTCTTTGTCTGATCTCCGTTGCTTCAAAGAAGGTGCCTTTCCTCTGTGATATGTGAAAACATTTGGAGACCACCAGTAGGCCAGTGTCAAATCAGTCTCATACATTTTCTGTTGCCTACAAAGAGAGAGGGCCAGGCGCTGGTGGCTCACACCTGTCATCCTAGCTACTCAGGAGGCTGAGAGCTGAGGATCATGGTTCAAAGCCAGCCCGGGCAGGAAAGACCGTGAGACTCCTATCTCCAATAAACCACCAGAAAACAGGAAGTGGTGCTGTGGTTCAAGTAGTAGAACGCTCGCCTTGAGCTGAAGAGGTCAGGGACAGCGCCCAGGCCCAGAGTTCCAGCCTCACAACTGACAAAAAAAAAAAAAGGCAGAGAGGAACTAGTATTTACCCATCACATACCATTTCCAGGAAGACTGACATTTGATCCCTGTCTTACCATCACAACCCCAGGAGGCATTATCTTCTACTGCTATATGAAAATAAAGACAATGAATTTCAGTTGGGGGCTGGTGGCTCAGGCCTCTGATCCTAGCTACTCAGGAGGCTGGGACCTGGGCATCCTGGTTCAAAGCCAGCCCAGGCAGGATAGTCCATGAGACTCGTATCTCTACCAAAAATCTGGAAGTGGAGATGTGGTTCATGCACACACAGAAGAAAGAAAATCTTGAATAGTAACGCAGCTGCTCCTTTTCATGGGCAGTAAGTGGCAGATCCAGGGAACTGACCAAGCAAGACTACAATCAACTCAATGAGGGGAGAAATGAAGGAGAAGGGAAAAGCTGCTCTCAGATCTCACCAAGGTCAAACTGATCAGAGGTAATGAGGTCACCAGTGGTGGCCAGATTTAAACAGTCAACCACATATGTTTGCTCTTGTCTATGCTATGACATCCTCATGGCTACAGTACACCCACCTTCTGACGAAACTACATGACAGTCCTCACCAACACATAAAATGTTGAATGTGTTTCTAAAAATTACTTAATTATGCCTTGCTTTTAGAAAAAGAAAACACACCTGAATCATCCTCCAAAATAATATTCCAGCGACAGATGCAGAATGACAGATACAGAAGCCAAGAACAAACACATGCATAAATCCATAAATGCCACCATCCACACAGAACTTCCTGCTCTGGCCAAATTCTCCTTGGCAAAAGTCTTAATACTGCCCACAGAAAACTGCATCTGTCCCAAGACTCCGGGACCAAATGAAAGTACCTCATGTAAACCAGATGGATGCTGCAGTTAAGCCAGGCCATACACACAAAAAAAAAAAAAAAAATCAAAGGCAAGCCAAGAGCTCCCTGACCCCTACTACACCTCATCCAGCATCACCCACCCCTTTTCCAGAAGTGGCTACAGTAGCTTACAGTCCAACAGCCCTTGGTAGCTCTCCATCAAAAATCACCTGCACAGTGACCCAGAGATGAAGAGGTCCTTGTTCCTCCTTGAAAGACTGACCCATCTGTAACCTTTCTCCCTGCATGTTTCAGGGCCTCTGCTACATCTCAACTTGAACAATTCTGTAGCTGAAGAACCCAGATAATCACAGCATCCTTTAGACCCTCCCACACTCATCCCATGATGAGGGGTTAGGGCACTCTCAGATATACCTTTTGAACTCCTCCAGCCTCTGCACTCATAAATGAAATGAAATTAGGTATACCAGAGAGATACCTATGTGCCCCTTCAGATCTATGGTAGTGCTATTCACAGAGCAAAGACAGGGGGCCAACCTAAACACCCACCAAAGGATGAAAGGATAAGGAAAATGTACTAAGTATCTATAATGGAATATTATTTGACCTTAAAAGGCATGAAATCTTTAATTTTTTTGGCACCAGTCCTGGAGCTTTAACTAAGGGTCTAGGCACTGTCCCTGAACTTTTGGGCTTTTGTTTTGTTTTTTGCTAGTTAATTGGCATTAAGAGTCTCACAGACTTTCTAGGCATGAAATCTTAGTTGCAACAACATGGGTGGAACATGGATGGAACTAGAAGACATCACAAATATGACAGGATCCAAAGTAATCTGAAAGCCTTTCCCTTAGAAGTAGAAAACAGAACTCTGATCAGTCAATGGATACAAAGTTACAATTAGACAGGAGGAATAAGTAAAAGGATGGGCACAGCTGACAACTATGTAACTAGTTACAAGGACTCTTCAATGCTCTACAACAAGGAAATGAGTGTTTAAAGTGATCAAATACTGTGATTACTCTGATTAAGATTGTTTATGATATATACACTCTGTATTTAAGGACTGCAATTATTACTATGTGCATACAATTACTATGCATCCATTTTAAAAATAAATGTAAAAAAGTCTACAATGAATCAGTATCAATAACAATGGCACCAAATTGATCCCATGGATGTTCTCTTAACATTGTGATATGAACTACTCCAAGAAAATCCAGAAGTAGAATTTTTTGACAAGTAATAAACAGCGGTAATGAACCTGCTAAACATTTGCCTCTGGAAGATAAATCACACCTCACAAATTTACATCTATTAATAGCCCCTAAGTACCTTAGCAATAGGTAGGCAAACAGTAATTAAGGAACTCACTGTTCATTCCCATTCTAGTGGAGCTGATGCTGGGGATTTCAAAACAGAAGAGAAGACATGGTGAACTTTTCGTCTAAGAATCAACTTATCTAGGACTCAGAAGTCTTCACTGGAACAATCACGATTTTCACAAGATGTTCACATTAGGGAAAGCCAGACAAAACATACACAGAAACTCCCTGAACTATTTGTGAAGCTTTTCTGAAAACCTAAAATACATTCTAAATAAAGAGCCTATTAGCCAGATGCTGGTGGCTCATAATCCTAACTACCCAGGAGGCTGAGAGCTGAGGATTGTGGTTCAAAGCCAGTTCAGGCAGTAAAGTCCATGCAACTCTTACCTCCAGTTACCCAGCAAAAAGCTGGAAGTGGAGCTATGATGCAAGAGGTAGAGGGAAAAAAAAGGAAGGAAGGAGAGGGAAGGAAGGGGAGGGAGATAAGGAGGGAAGGAAGAAAAAAATGGAAAGAACATATTAAAAACTAAAGATAATAAGCACAGTCTCAGAGGCTGAGAGAAGATTGAGGGAGGTCATCTCCACTGAGGGTCAAAAGGCAGACAAAGCAAAGGAATGAAGCCATGGCACCCATGGTTTGCTCTGTTGGGTCAGGAAAATAGTGGGCCTGCAGCCTCCTTTTTATAGCTCAAGGACATCCAGATGGAAATGACCACCCTGGGACAGTAAATCCAGTCCTGAATCCAAACCCATTCCTAGCCCCAAAGCTACACATCATTTCTTGGATGTTTAAAATTCTTTGAAGTCTTTTTTTTTTTAAGCAGATAAATAGATTTGATTAATACTTATCAAGACACTCTAGAATAGTGGAGGAAAGAGAGCATACTCCTTAAACAATATTGGGGCAACTGGATTACCAGCTGAATAAAAATCAAAACTAGATTTATTCAAAACTTTATTCATATAACGCAAACAAACTTAATATAAAAGGCTTGGGAGGCTTTATTTGAAGCTCCTTAAAAATCACAATTCACAATGTCACCTACTCAGTACATCTAATCAGAGAATCACTTCCTTCTAAGCTTTTGAAATGTTTATTAATGCCAACGTGAAATACATAATCCAATAGGAAACCTTACCAAAGTTTAAGCTGTGCTCTCCTGCACTCCTGCTAGAGGAACCCTATGCCCACAAAATCAAAATGCAGGGACAAGAATCCATGGGGACAGAGGACACAGCAGCCATAATGTTTTGGAAGGCAATCACTGACAGGCTCCCTGGGAAGGTGACACACGGACCCAGGCAAGAGACTGAGAAGCCAAGTGGCTCAGTCCCCAGAATAGCCTTGAAATGAGGGTGCAAATAGGCCCACAAAGGGGACCAGGGACCACCTAGGGGACCAGCCTAGAACAGATGCAAACTGACCCTACATTCCACCAGTACCTCAAACAGCCAAGCAGCTGTTCCACCCAACAGTCAGCAACACCCACCCACCCCTGTCCAGCCAAAGGTGTCATGAAACAGGGGGAAAGGCAACTGGCTATACACTGGAAAGGGGACACTGGCACCCTCCCACACCCTCACCCCAATTCCACAATGGAAATCCAATGGGATAAAGGATCCTGGTCACAAAAGCGCTTTCTTCAGAAATGTCTCTGCCTAGTACCCTAACACCCACCTGGAATGTGTATTTCTCTTGAGGGCTCCTAAGTTTCAGCCTTAATGCCAGAGGCTGAAAGGGACTCAAGAAAATACTTCAAATCAGCAGATAGTTACAACCCTTCTCATGTTTCCAGAACAAAAATCCCTTCTGTAGTTCTTACATCTTAGCTTATAATAAGATCCCTGTTCTTGAAATACCATGCCACAGGGGTCCATTCTTTATAAT